GGTACCAATTCAGTTTCTCTCCTGTTTTTGATGATAGCGTTAGCCCTGTGAAAGACAATGTTTTTCCAGCCATGGCTGACTGTGAGGCCACCATTTGGGACATCGCTTTTTAGTCAATGAAATTGTCCCACTTCTCCTCCTGTTCAGAACCCGCTCTGATGGAGCCAAAGCTATTACCCAGATGCTTGTCAGGCAGACACAAAAACACTTTGCAGTATGTTTTGGCTTGCTTTTAGGGGACTTCCTGCCAACAGAGTGATGGCATTTGCCCAAGTTTACCATGAACTTGAGGGCAGATTTCTCTGTTCCTACCCTTGGAACGCTCCAGAAAACGTTTTCCATTTTGCACAGGATAAAAGGAGCTTCCCCAAACAGGAGTGCTGCTGGCAACATCCCGGGCAGCAGATACGGTACAGCATCAGACTGAACATTGCTCCCCCCTTTTTCATGAGGAGGGAATGCTCTGGGGTTTTTTTATTCTTAAATTATTTTATTCTTAATTATTCTTAAGTTTGAAGAAAACGATGGTCAGTGTCCCAGAAAGCTTTTAGCCTGGCATGTTCTTTCACAGCTGGTAGAAAATACCTCTGTGTGTGACCATGTGATGGGGCTCCCTTTCCCAAGGACGCTGTAAATGTAGCAGCCTTCTCTTTCTTCAGTATTTCCTCTGCTTGCGAGAGATGGTTTTCATGGGAGCTAATTCTGTGCCTGGGTCTTTCTGCAGCTCCCGTTCTGACTCTCTGAGCTTGGCACTCGTGTAGACCTTACAGCTCTGAGCCTGTCTGATGCTGGGTAAGAGGTTGGTGGTACTTTTTTATTTTTATGAAAGGTTTTGATGCTCTGGTAAGGAAATCTCTTGGCTAAGCTCAGCTCCTTGGCTGTGTCTGATTCACCCTTTGGTTGCATCATTATCCACCCATTGGCATCACCAGTGAATTTGACAGAAAATATAGCAGTGTTTCTCAGGACTCAGCCTTTTTTGGACTGGAGAGTGTTTCAACTTCTGACTCTTCCATAAACCAAGAGCGAGCTTGAAATTGCCTTTTCAGGCAAAGTCCGACAGCCCCCCGGTCGTGTTTAGCTCTGAACTGGTGCATCGCTTCTGTTGTTGCTGTCCCTCAGCAGTTGTTTTTCCAAAGGCCCTGTTTGCTCTCTGCCTGTCAGGTTGCTTTCAGGTTGCCATGAGCTTTTGTTCCCAGTGGTCACTGCCAGGTTGGCAGTGGGAAGTACCCTCTCCCAAATCAGACATTAAATGACAAACTTCGCTCAGGATGCCCAGTGTCTCCCAACCTTTTCTCCTTTTCCAGTGACTGCAGCCGTAGCTCAGCACAGTGCAGCTGAAAACCAGCTCCTGTCCATTTGGGAAGGAGGAACGTGTTGAAGAGCATGGGGAAGGCTTTTGAGGATAGCGAAGGCAACTAGAAGCCCAGTTTTACTTGGCTTTTAGAGGCCTTTTAATGCCAAACTTCTGTTGCCTTTGCACACCTTGCCCATTTTCAGCATGAGGCAGAGCTGGTACCTGCTTTTGCTGTAAACAAGGTGTTAGCGTGTACCGTTACTGTGCTCAGCCTCTGTGTTTCCTGCTTGTGTAGTGTTGTCTTTGGGTGAACTTGAAATTCCCCTCCTTCCCTTCCTGCCAGATGAGCTGCTGAGTACATGGGCCAGTGGTCTGCTTGGCTCACCTCCCTTGGTTTGAAGCCAAGCATCACCAGGTGTACAAATGCACAGCTCAACCCTGGACATCTTCACTGTTCGCTCCATACTTTAGACATAATATTTACAATTGTACTTGGCCTTGTACACATAGCTTTATTCCAAATAAATAACCATACTATATATTTGCTAGGCTTTTACAATTTTTCTGTTCTGTAGCCAAAATTGCAGCTGTGCCCATACTTCTGGCTAGGGCATGTTGGAGAGCCTTTTATGGAGGCCCTGGACTCCCAGCACCCTGGGCTTGCAACCAGAGCTGCACCGAATCCTTCTCTCAACCCTGGCACCCCTGCTCAAGCGACAACCAAGGATCCCCTTGCGTGCCTCAGCACCTGCAGATGCCCCATCCTATTGCTTCCTATGCACTGGGGGGGCTTTCAGCCCCGTGGTGCAGATGTGCTGTTGTGTGACAAGGTGGGGGCGAAGCCATTAAAGAGGACGCCAGAAGCCGGGCCAGCAAATGGCTGTGGTGGGCACACGCTGCTGACCTCCTGTGATCATGCAGGCAAGTCCTTGGGCTTGTGCTGAGTCAGGGGTTGAGTAATTCCTAGAAGCTCTAGGAATTGTCAGCGGTTGATGAAACCAGGCAGTAACGTGGTATTAGTGGGTTCTTTTTCTGGAAATTCCCATGAAAAACAACAGATCTCATCCACTTGTGGTTGCGAACGTGCACAGACCCTTTGCACGAGAATGGAGGTGTTGCTCCTGGCACCGTGGTCAGATTGCAATCCAGTAAATTATGGTCTGTTTACTTAAAACACCACCTGTGGTTTCAGTAGGATCCAGCGTTAATTTATTATCCTAAACTGTTGTATGTTTTTGCTGCCTGTTGTTTACAGAGTTGCTGCGCATCTTCCCAGGAATGGCTGAGCTTACTTTGACCCCTACTCTGAGCTTGGGCATCGGTTTGTCTGCAAAGCACTTTGGGATTTCTTTGGAATGGGTAGAGAAGTTTTCTAAAGGAATACTTTTTTAATCTTCTGGATGCAGGCTTGGGTGGGAGCAGTTATTCCCTGCAGAAAAATTCGGCTGCTACAGCTGAGATTGCTTAACAGTGGCAGTTCTCCAGGACATCTTAACTAACTAAGTGCTGCTTGCTACCATTGCATCTAGAGTCCTTGGGAAAGGACATGATCAAATGTGTTAAAAAGCATCTGTTTTCATAACTGTAGCTAAAATCCCTGGATAGCTGGGTGTAATTTTCCATTGTTTTTGAACGCATGATCACGGACTGCTCTTCGAAAATAAGGAGTACTTGGAAAATGAACTGCAGGCCTGCTTCAGTGCATGGTGGCATGCTGTGCCAATGACCTGGTTTTGATGAGTATGTTCTTGCTTCCCCAGCAAGCGAGAGCCAAGGGACCTTCTCTTAGCAAGAAATAAAGCGTACATCTCGTCAAACTGCAAGACAGTGGTTGCAAATGCCTGGCCTTGGAGGGAAGCGTGGACTAGACCAATCCTTATAGTTTATATAAAAAGGCTTTTTTTGAAGCAGGAGGGTGTTTGGAGGGCAGTGGACACTTTCTCAGCTTGGTTTGAAGGAAGTGCAGAGGGCATCTTGAGTGCTCTGTCCTTTGCTTCTCTGGAGCCAAGATCAGAGTCTTCTCTCTGCCCTTCGTGGTACAGCTGAGCAGACTGGCTAGAAAAACTGCCTAGGAACCGTGATTTCCAGCCAAGCAAAAAAAAATGGAGCATGTAACACCTTCATTTGATAGCAGGTTTTCATAAGTTTGGGTATAAGGTGGAATCCAGTCCATTAGGGAAATCGGTTGCGCAAGGCAAGAGAGAGATTTCAGTTTCCTGTGCCAAAATACACGGAGAATTTGGATTACGACACAGGGAGGTGAAAGTCCCAGCTCCAAATGCTCGGAGGCATGATAGGGCATATCCAGTTCACCTACAAACAGCCCAGTGTGGGGCTCTGAGATCTGTGATATGGGTCGATTGTACTTTGTCCTGAGCCAGAGCAATACTATTCTCATTCTTCAAATTCCTAAACTGTTCACCTTTCCCCACCCAGCTCTTAGCAGAGAAAACATCGCTAACTTGGCAGGGGATGCTGAAAATATCGAGGTATTGTAAAGGCAGGACTAGAGGGGTTTTTTAGGGACAAACAAGCAATTTGATCTCACAGGATAGAATGGCCATGCTGAAAATGGGCTGTAGCACTAGGAGTCTTCATTTTGTCTGTTTGGAAATAATGAAGAGCGGCAGAGGTCTTACCGAAAGAAAAACGGTGCTGTGATCTCTGCTGAGGAGTGGTTGCCAGGCCTACGTGTTTCTAAACACGGAGCTCTCCTGGTATCCTTAGCTGCAAAAGCTGAGCTTAAAAAAGATGGAGATTACAGACACCTCTGAGGCAGGTAGAGCTGTGGGCTGTAGTTGCAGGAGACAAAAGCCTGATCTGGAGTTAATGTTGTAGCTCTTTGAAGTGTCTTTCAAAAACATTTTTCTAGTGCATGCAAGCGTGAAGGGGGATTTACGGAAAGCAGGGGTTATTCCACATGTTGGAAGGAGTGGAGAAAATGCAGGAAGTGCTCTTTTAAAATTCCCTTTTAAGGAACGGCGTACATACGGTACAACAGTGCGCAGAAACCAGCCGTGACCACAAACAGAGCAGAAGTTAGGTTTCTTGAGGATTCAGAGTGGGGGGCTAGTTTAATTTAATTTTGGATAATTTAAGACATTGAATACAAAAATAAGTTTTAAAAATATTTTGAGACATTTATGTAAAAAGAGTATGTTTTTGTTAAGCATAACAATGAAAGATTTGGGCTGGAAATTAAAGAGCAGTGCAAACAAAAGCAAAACACAGTGCTTGGGGTTTTTCTCTTCTTCTGTGGTCAATCTGCAGAGTGTCTTTTGTGTCTTGATTGCTATTTTCAAACTGCAGTGGCTGTGGGAGACAAGTTCAATGCTCTTCACAGCTCTGCTCATATTTTTGGCTAGAAGAAATTGTATCCAAGGGGTGGGAGGGATGGAGTGCGGAGGGATCTTAGCCCTCTCTCCATATTTTGTTCTCCTCCAGAGTTGTGCCTATTGACCGTACTCCATGTTGTACCAAAGCGTGTACAGAGTTATCCGATTCTGCCAGGGCTGCCAGAGTAGCAGTCACCCGCGCAGGCGGGTCCGTGTCAAAGCCTCTTGGTGCACCGTGTATTTCTGCCTTTAGAGCAGTGCAGGGTTCAGATCCAGGCTTTCTGATGATCTCCATCGTCTTCCTGGGGTTTCCTGGGATTGGATGTGGCTCTTGCGCTGTGGTTAACATTTCCTCTCCCCCACTGCAGGGTTTTGGCTGGTGTGGACCATCATCATCATCCTCAGCTGCTGTTGTGTTTGCCATCACCGACGCACCAAGCATCGTCTCCAGGCCCAGCAACGGCAACACGAGATCAACCTGATCGCTTACCGGGAAGCCCATAACTATTCAGCCCTGCCGTTTTATTTCCGTATGTACCTCACACCATTTTTCCTGGAGGTCATGGGGAGCAGGGCAGCAGCGAGTTTCCCATGTTGGGTGGAAGCAGGGAGCAGTGTTTGGGCTCAGCAAGAGGTGGGGGTCAGCTTTGCTGCCTAAACTTGGCTTTTAGAGAGGAGGTGACACATTCCAGCTGCTGGATGCGTTTGATCCCCCTTGAGTGGAGTTGAACGACACCAGCTGCAGCACCTTCACACCCACCTTTGATTTGGCTCTGTGAGTGCAGTGATTTCGTGGGTGTTTTTCTGGGAAAGTTCTTAAAATATTTCGTTCAGGACTTTATGGATGCTCCTCCTTTCCAGCCTGCACTTGCTGCTGGTGGGACTGAGATGTGGGAAGTGGCTTCATGAAATTCGGTCACACGAGCTGGGTGGAAGTGGTGCCCCAGCAGGGACCATGCTGGCTCTTGCCCTGTGCTGCAGTTCCCAGATGACGCTGCTGGTGAGCAGCCCTAGGAGTTTGCACGAAGGAGCTGTTGCCCACGGCTCAGGGAAAGTACAATTGCTTTGTTCTCTCCTTCATGCCCGGCTACACTGTGCTAGAACAGTGAGTCTCGGCCTTTTGACTGGAGGTAACCACAACTGAGTTTCCTGTAATGGACTGTTGAATTGCATGTATGAACTTGCTTTTCTCATTAAACTCTTGCAGTCACCTCAGAAATAATCCCCAGCAGCGCTTTCCTCCCTAGACCCAGCGATATGCAATTGCACGTGGAAAACTGTAGTGCTATCTTTAAATGTTTCCAGTATTTAAGTCCATTCTGTCTATATAGACTATTTTGTTGCCTCTTAAGAAATAAACAAAATCTTTCATAGATTTGAGGGGCTGTAAGTACAATAAACCAAACTTTCTTGCCAATACTGCCAATTTATTCTGACCACACCAGAAAAACTGAATCCGGCACTAAAACAACAAGCAAAAGCCAGGATCCTAAGTTCCTTGTAACTGCTCATGTCTCTTCATATTTGCACAAAGCTTTGAGAGATGGCATCTTTGCTCTTGAAAGTGGAAACTCAGCTGAGAACCCAGTGTTGCAGAAGGCTGGCGAGTTACCTTCCAGGTTGTTCCCTCCAGCCAACGTAGGCCGCCCCTTGGTGTGGTTTATGGGGCTGGATTGGGGTACAGGGAACAGGGGGAGGTTCGCTTCGTAGCCCTAAACGTAGACTTGAGAGCAGGGAGGTCAGGCTGCTGTTCCCAACTGTGTCCATCTCCTCCTCTAATGGGGCCGTCCTGTGCTGCAGTTGCTGCGTCACTAAAACGTGACATGTCTCATTTGGGCCAAGTTTTGGCACCCCTTGTAAAGCCTGTTGAGCTGTTCAGTGGGAAGGTGCTGGTAGATGACAAATGACATAGCGACCTGTATTAATGACTCGTTTCCTGAGATAAGCTGTTCATGAAATAACTTCTCCTCCTTGCCTCCGACTTTCAGGGTTTTTGCCAAATTATTTACTACCTCCCTATGAGGAAGTGGTGAACCGACCACCGACCCCCCCGCCACCATATAGTGCCTTACATCAGCAGTGCGTCCCAGCAGGCAGCAGTAGCACAATCCCAGACACGCCAAGAAACCTGCAGCCAGCGCAGAGCAGCTCAGCATCACCCAGCGGCAATAACAGCAGTACTGACAACACCGGGTCCCCTGGCCTTGGGGACCCCGAGCCCTCCACCACCACGCTGGTTGAGCGAGCAGTTGCCAAAATGCAAAGCGTCGAGCCCGGCGGTACCAGCACAGGAGCCGAGCTAGTGGAGAGGGCCGGTCCTGATAAGGATACGGAGTGCAAGGAGGAACTGCTAAAAGGTTACAGCTCTGAGAGCTTAGAGCAGAGCAGCGCCATTCCCGACGTGAAGGACAAGACGCCGGGCAGGCAGCGCCGTTTCACTGGTGACTCGGGCATCGAAGTCTGCGTATGCAACCGGGGCCATCACGACGACGACCTCAAGGAGTTCGACGGGCTCATCGATGATGCTCTGGACGGGCCCCTGGACTTCTGCGACAGCTGCAGTGGCCGCCCCCACGGGGACGAGGAGGAAGGGCTTTTTCATGCCGTGGAAGAGCAGCACCGCGAACACAGCCACCACCACCTGCCCCGGCAGCCGGTGTGTGTACTCTTGAACACAATAAATGAGCAGGACTCTCCAAACTCTCGTACCAATAACTCCCCCAGCTAAGGTGGCAGAGTGGAAGGGAGAATTGGGGGAAAAAACAAAGAAATAAAAGTGGAATAAGAGGATTAAAACTTTAACAGGAGGAAAAGGTGATAAAACCTTCTTTTTTTAGTTTATTTTTCTTTCTCCCCCTCCAATATAACTTGGGGACTAGTCCCCGAAGGCCCGGCTTGTGGGGGACGGGTCGCTCTGGGTTTTGTTAATCGTGTCCGTCCTGCTCCGTGGGGCAGTGACTGATGTTTCTCAATGAGACCTTCTAACAAATGGAACTTTCCCAATGGTGATTTTGGTGATGGTTATTATGAGTTTGTTGGTTTTAGTTTTCCAAAACTGCTTTATCTTGCAATCAGTAAAGCTCAGCAAATCTCACCCTGGGAGGATACGAAATCACCATAAGGCTTCAACCTCCAGGTGTCTTCCCAGAAGCAAGCAGCTTCTGACATTGCCGGCAGTCAGTAGCCCAAGAGTTCTGGTTTGATATAGTGCTCTTGAGGCATTGGGGATTTATTTTATTTTATTTTTATTTTTTTCTTTTTTCTTTTTTTTTTTTTTTTTTTTTTGTTTTTTATTTTTCCTGAACTTGTGAAATCCTTTCAACC